ATATTTAATATAAATATATAAATATATAAATATATAAATATATAAATATATAAATATATAAATATAATATACATATATACAATTGCATATGTGGCAGAGACTGCATAAATAGGTAAATAAATAAACAAATAAACATAAATAAATAAATAAATAAATAAATAAATAAATATAGAAGAAAAGAATGGATAGACAGAATAAATAAATAAAAAAAATAAATAAATAAAAAGACTTACAATAAGAATATTAATAAAGCTTTTACTGGGGTGTACAGACAGCTCAAGTTGCCATGATGAAGGTTTATCTAATGGATAAGGCATCACTACTACTTGTGAATTAGGAATTAAAGAGACCCACATATTATGGGCTGTCTGTAGACATACGTAAACCCTAAACCCTAAACCCTAAACCCTAAACCCTAAACCCTAAACCCTAAACCCTTGAAAAAAAAAATAAAGAAAAAATATAACAGAAGAAAAAAATAATTTATTATTTTATTAAGATATAATCCTAAATTTAAAAATTTTTTCAAAAATATTATTATATATCTAAACCCTAAACCCTAAACCCTAAACCCTAAACCCTAAACCCTAATTTACGATTTGATTAAGAGGTAATCCTAAGAAGAATTCTTCAACATAATTATTTGTTTGCCCCAATCCAAATAATTCAAAAGGAAGAGATAAAGGACCATGAGCACTTTGAGGTAATTGGACACCTGTATACACACGTAAACCCTAAACCCTAAACCCTAATAAACCCTAATAAACCCTAATAAACCCTAATAAACCCTAATAAACCCTAATTAAATATAGGAAACCCTAATTGACACGAGTAAACCCTAATTCCTACAGAATACATATCTAATAGACTAAACCCGCATGTGTGAAGTCGGGTAAGAAGGAGCATTTACCTCTAAACCCTAAACCCTAATATAAACCCTAATACACCCTAAACCCTAGTAAGTACCTGCACGCGGTGTCTTGGTGCCATTAAGGTCTGTCACTGTTATCTTCATTGTTGCGCCTAAAGAAATAACGAATAGACACACAAACCCTAAACCCTAAACCCTAATAAACCCTAATAAACCCTAATAAACCCTTATAAACCCTTATAAACCCTAATAAACCCTTATAAACCCTTATAAACCCTTATAAACCCTAAACCCTTAAAGTGATGCTCACCGACAGCAGCAGCGCCATAAGGGGGAGGTAGATCAGGAACAGATTGAAGGGAATGTTGCTGCTGCTGCTGCTGCTGCTGCTGTTGCTGTTGCTGCTGTCCTTGCTGCTGCTGCAGTTCAATGATTCTGCCTTCTGCTGCATGCAGTGCTCCCTCTACGCCACTTGTGGTGGTGCTGCTGGTATCAGCAACAAGGTGCTGGTGTTGCTGTTGCTGCTGCTGCTGTTGCTGCTGCTGTCCTTGCTGCTGCTGCTGCTGCTGCTGCTGTAGAGGAGCTAGGGTTTGCTTAAAACAGAAAGAAAAAGGACAAACACCATTTAATGAACTAACCTTAAAGAATAAACTGTCTCTTGTTGCATCAGGAGAACGAATAAATACTCTTATTGTATTAAATGGATTTGCTTCCTGCTGCTGCTGCTGCTGCTGCTCCTGCTGCTGCTGCTGCTGCTGCTGCTGCTGCTGCTGCTCCTGGTCATGCTGCTGCTGCTGATGATTAAGGGATCCCTGAGGCTGCCCTTGACAGAGAACATCTAATGCTCCCTAACATATAACAAACACTCATAAACCCTAAACCCTAAACCCTAAACCCTAAACCCTAAACCCTAAACCATAACGAAATACCTAGAGCTGCTGCAACTGCTGCAGCACACATGCATGCATGCATGCATGCAAGTAGGTGGCTATACACCCTAACCTTTTCATGGAAATCAAAGAAGGCAACACGATTACAAAGAAGAGTTTCTCCTTTTGCTGTTGCAACAAACTCTGCTGCTAATTGAAAATGACGCTTCTTTATATTCTGCACAAAAAAAATAAACCCTAAACCCTAAACCCTAAACCCTAAACCCTAAACCCTAAACACTAAATGTTGAACATTCAAACAATACTAAGTTAGCCCTTTTCCTTTCTGTCTCTGGATTCGTGCTTATGGCAGAACGTTGGAACACTCATAGACAACAGTCTCGTAAACCCTAAACCCTAAACCCTAAACCCTAAACCCTAAACCCTAAACCCTTGTATATTTTTCTTGCCTTAGGATCCTCAGGAACATTTCTGTATATACGAACAGCTCTTACTCCTCCTTCTTTTACTGCAACAAGAGCAACATCTAAATATCCATCACCATCTACATCTCCAACCTGATCACAAACCCTAAACCCTAAACCCTAAACCCTAAACCCTAAACCCTAGAGGGCAAAAAAAAAAAGGTATGGACAAAATAACCCATCCTATTGTACCCAATATAAAGGGGAGGGACGAATGCATGCATGTATGCATGCATACAAGGAAGGGATGCATGCAAATAAGGGTTTATTTACACTTAGGGTTGGGGGTTTAGCTGCATCTCCATAGAAATGAATAGAAGGGTCTGCATCTAATAAAGAAATAGATGACTCTTTACTCCCATCTGCACAAGAAAAAAAAATACACTATTTATTTATTTATTTATTTATTTATATTTATTTATTTTATTTATTTATTTTATTTATTTTATTTATATTATATATTAATGCATAAAGAGCAACAATTAATAAGAATTGTTATGCATGCATCGTCATGTTGCTATACAAATAAGCATATATATATATATATATATATATATA